TTACTTCTTTGATAGATTGTAGTCGATGTGCATGACAAGAGAAATCTTAATTAGTTTTGAAAAGAAATCATCATGCCATGCTGGGAAGAAAAGAAACCTTGTAAAATAACGCAAGGAAGGGGAGAAAATTTCCTGAAGCCTCTTTCTGATCGTCCTCCTTTCTCCTATGCATAAAACCGCTATAGATGGCACCGCTTTCTCAAGACTCTCCTTCGTCCCACTGTCCTCATCCGCTATTCTTTCCAGCAGGAAGTTGGTGAAAAAGCATAATTAGAGGTATGTTTTTGGTGTTCGCGTGCCCCGTTTGTTCTGCCTCTCTCCCTCATGAGCGGCAACACAAGCGGTAACGTGAACGCCTTTAACCTACCCCTAACATAACGAGAGTGAATGACGTCGAGGCGACAGTCCCGCTGTACTGATTCCAGGGAAAATCTTATATGGGAGCAAAAACCACATCCATACTTCTTGCGTATCCACAATGTTTCTTGTTCTTCTGCTTGCACCTCCACACATCTCCATCAATCTAGGTTCCTTCTCCAGTCTCGTCTTCCTTCTGCTAACTCCCTTTTTCATCATCTGAAGATTTTTATTGACGAATGATACACATGATGTGTAGTTTCGACTGAGACAGGCGACATCTATTGCAAATAGGGACTACGAACGATCTCCGAACCGTCGAGGGAAGTTAGACAGGCTATATCTATAATTCTCATTCGTGATACTTACTACAGTTGTTGATGTTGTATAACTATAATTATAATGTATGTGTGTTGTAATAAATAATATGAGTTCCATAAAGAACAGTGTAAAGTTTGCTCACCTGTCGTTTATCGAAAGAGTAAGAGCATAAAAAGGTAGTTATAACATTCCTAAGACTATTCAATGGTGCACGATTGGTCCTGATGTACAAGAACTACAACCTAGACGCTAAAATAAAATGATAGTAGTATAGTACTAAGTGTACTTTTCATAGTCCACGACGTGAAACACGATTCGTTTGGATCTCCCCTCCGCAGAATCAGAAAAATTTTCACAGCTGCTAACCGTCTTAGCTTTTGCTTGCTAAAACCAGACGATCCCCAGCGTCTTAGTCTTTGTTTAGAGCTACCCTTAATCCACCCTGTGAATCCATCCCGTTAAAATGCTGGCGCCAGTACTTGCCTCAGTACGGCCCGAGACTCTTCCAGGCACTGCCAGCGCTGTACTTTAATGGGATGCACGTGGAGATGGGTCCTTGTTCTTTTGAGCCTTAATTTATCCCCTGCAAGCCAACTTCCTCAACTGCTAACCCTCCTCGCCTGCCGCCTGAAATATTATGGTGAGTGGCGACGTTCTTGATTTGGCTGCTTCAACTGTCGGAATCTGCGTAGAGTAATCAGTAAGAATCTCAGTAATGTATCACAGTAAAGAATCTCACTAATCTATCACAGTAAGTATAGAATCTAGTATCTGTAGTACCTGAACCTGCTCTATTAATGAGAGCTGAAGCTACTAAATCTGAAGTTGAAGATTGGTTCTTATCTGGCGTATCTGATTAGAAAGGCTTGCATCTGATGCCAAGTCTATCAGTCCTAGAGTTACTATGGAAAAACTGTCTCAAGAATCCACTTACTTTCCTGATCACATGAATGGATTGGAACTTTGCCCAGATCAGTTTCCTGAATACATGAATATGCATCAAGGAAAAGAAAATAAAGCTAAAAATTAATACCTACGGTTGTACGGTAGGCGGCGCCTCAAGCTCACTGGTCTTCACAAGCCGGCTTTTGCCCGTAAAAGCACCCACAACGTTTCTCGCCATTCTTTCAAGACCTCTCATATCCTGATTCAGATTGGAATGGATTTTCTTGTGAAGATAGAAGGCATTTCGAAGACGTTATATCATAATGCCACGAGGCATGTGTAGTAGTTCATCTAACACGCTTAATCAAGGGGAACGACTTAATCACTTTCAATCAAGGTCACGTCTACTGCTCCAATTGAGCACGTGGACCCCACAACTTGAGGCAAAATCTCTCTTCTACAGTCAAAGATATCGTTGGCCCACCCGCCCCCCCCCC